CGACCTTCTCTTCAGATTTAATGATTTTTTTTTAAGTCGTTCAAGAATCACGAAGGATGAAAGAAATAGTGGGTCAGCGAATTATCACCCTTCTTTACAAAAAAAGTGACGAAACTAACAACATAAACTACAAACTCATCACTCTTCTCACAGTGGTGTATAAGTTGTTAGTTAAAACTCTCGCAAACTAGATGATTCTGATTATAGCTAGCATTGTACGTCCAACACAGACTTGTTTTATTAATGGCAGATATATTCAAGATAACATCCTTCTAATTAATGAAATGATTAAGCTTTTACGTCAATCCCAACAAAATATTGCATTTGTATTTATAGATTTTGAAAAAGCTTATGACCATGTAGACTGTAGATTTTTGGATAAATGCCTTAGTAAACTGAATTACGGCCCTTCAATACGAAAGTGGGTTCAGATTTTTCATTTCAACTCAACTACCAGAATACAAGTTAATGGTCTTCTTTCACCAAAAATCAAACTTCAAAGATTGGTTAGGCAAGACGATTCGTTGACTCTCTTTTTTTTCCTCATTATTATGGAGGCCTTATGAACCAATCTTCGTAAAAACCGCAGCCTCAAGCGATTGGGAATAGCGGGGATACCAAAGGAAGCAATACCTATTTATTCTATGTTTGCAGATGACCTCACTATTATGATGGAGGCTACAGAGGCAAATATGAAAGAAATTATAATATTAATGGATAAATTCTCCATAGTGTCATATAGGGTTGTCAATTGGGGGAACAAAACACAAGGATGGGGGAGCAAAACATAAGGATGCTGGAAACAATCAAATGGGGTTCGCCTTCTTGAATAACCTAGAGTCCATTGGGTCCCTCTAGAAGCACCAATCAGGACTCTAGGTATGACATTGACATAGAAAAGCAAATCTACAAACAGTGAGGAATGGATAGTTAGGCCGACTCTAGAAAAAAATACTCAATGAAAGAACTAACATACCTCAATTATTGGAAGAACCCTTATAATCAATAATGTTGTATTAGCCTCAATATGGCACAAATCAGGGTTCTGGTCCATTGGTAAAATGCATATGAAAGCTCTTCCAAAATTTCAGCATTCCTTTGTAGAGGCAATCATGAGCAAAGGAAAGTCATCCCAAGAGTAGCTCGACTCTCGCCAATTCAACATGAAATCAAAGGAGGTTTGAGGGTTTTGAACCTCACTTTTCAATCACAAACCCTTGCTTTGCAATGGTTTAAAAAATTAATCTTATCCACAGATAAACAGTGACTGCCTTTGGTTTTGGAATAAATCAAGAGATTGGTCCCTGCAGCGTCAGAGGAAATACATCCTCTTACTTGGTTGGAAGATAGATATCGGACCATACCTAGAGCGCAAACACATTTCAGTGAACGAGGTATACTCTGGAAAAAAATACTCAATGAAATAACCAACATACCTCAATTATTGGAAGAACCCTTATAATCAATAATGTTATATTAGCCTCAATATGGTACAAGTCAGGGTTCTGGTTCATTGGTAAAATGCATATGAAAGCTCCCCCAAGACAAATTTCAGCGTTCCTTTGTAGAGGCAATCATGAGCAAAGGAAAGTCATCCCAAGAGTAGCTTGACTCTTGCTAATTCAACATGAAATCAGAGGAGGTTTTAGGGTTTTGAACCCCACTTTTCAATCACAAGCCCTTGCTTTGCAATGGTTAAAAAAATTAATCCTATCCACAGATAAACAGTGACTGCCTTTGGTTTTGGAACAAATTAAGAGATTGACCCCTGCAGCGTCAGAGGAAATACATCCTCTTACTTCGTTGGACGATAGATATTGGACAATACCTAGAGCACAAACACATTCCAGTGAACAAGGTATACGAAGGGTAGCGAGATCGGATCTTGTGCTAGATAATCTTTGGACAATACTTATGAGAATATGGCATAGCCTTCCACTACCTAACATACATTTTCCCTCGAGATATGAAGAAGTAATGCGTCAACCTCTGTTTGGTAATCATTGGATCACGGATCCTAACGGGTGTGTTTCCAATAGCTCAATGTCCCCGTCATCCTTGTGGGTGAAAATGAGGGTATTAAGAATCAAGGATCTTTGAGATTCAAAAACCAAGAATTGAGAAAAGACTGAAAAAGTTGAGATCAACTCTACGGAGATCAACTCTACGTTCTGCTCACCAACTGTCTTTAAATTTAGAACAAATTATCATTTCAACTTCGTTAGCCTGGAAGCGTTCCTTGAGGAAAGGACCAAAGTTTGAAGAAGGGGATTGGGTAATGGGATTTGATGATCATAATGGATGTTATTGAGAGTGGGACAAATTGTTCATCTCCTTCCTCAAGGGCCTTTAGTGAGTATCCACAAGGGGGACATAGATTATTTTTTTTCACTGTGTCCTTTGGACAAGGTGACTCATTTTCCTTTCTCTCATATCTATCGTATTAGAGTGTTATTCATTTCGACAATCACAGGCTGGAAAGCCTTTCATCCAGAAACGCCTATCTCATAGATACCTTTGGATCCGGTAGAATGGCAGTAGCAGTCTAGTGAGAAAGGAAAACCGCGATTGTTACAAACTTTAAACCACGAGTATCTTGAAATTACGATGTCTTAGCCAGTACCCGAACTTTTCCAGGGTCGGACACAGGGTCGGCACTGTCCCATAAATCAGATTTTTATATTGTCCGCGAGTGGAAGAAAAAGGAAAAAAAGAAAATACTATCTCTACTGCAATGATGTAGGGCAGGGTAGTCCTGGAGGCCGTGCTTAGAGTCTTCCTCCACAAAATGCACCTCACTTGTAAGGCGGTCACATTCTGGATGTTACTGTTTTCTTCTTTGTCTTGCTCGTGTGTTTCGTATAAGTCCCCTGCCAATGAGGCAGGGGGGAATCCGTGAATTGCTCAAGCCGTCCGTGATCTGCTCAAGCTGTGTTTTGTCAGAGGATTGTAACACTCATCACACTGGTACTAAAGGGAATGTATCCAGGCATTTTCACGGCCAGATTCGTGTGCCCGTTTTTTTCCCCTTTTATTCTCGTTTTGGAATCTGACAACCTGGCCACGGGGCTGAGATGCCCTCATTGAGGGCGCACTCWCACTACCACTTCCAAWAATGTATACAACTGCAATCACGACCAAAGCTTTGTTTCCTTTTTTTTTTTTTTTTTTGAGGTTCATSKGGGCCGCAACTTTTCTTCTTCTTTTTTKTTTTTTTTTTKTTTTTTCCGTGAGAGTACCAGAAAGAAAACGRAGTGGTACCCAGRCTTGGTAAAACTCGGGGCGCAGTGAAATTCAGGGTCGGCAAAAACAGGCTCGGAGGCACTGGTGGTTTAACAGTAAAAGCAACATATAAATTGCTTAAACCAAAGGTTGATATTGTAGCAATTGTTCAGGAGAAGTGGGTGAGGCATTTAAACATTCATATAAATCTGATCAAACACATTAAACTTTTCAAATACATTAGACAACATCCAGCTAATTTTTTTTTCCTTACAATGGCAAATCATTCATAGATGTCTACCCACCAACGATTGGATTGTGAATCACTCCACACTGGAACAACAAGGAGTAGCGCTTCCTTGGTGTAAAACTTGTCTGTCTGTATTTCCAAGTAGAAAATTGTGTAAAACCATAGAACACCTTCCTGCAATGTCGAGGAGCGGTGCTAATCTGGAGATTTGGGACTGTATATGGAGGGGACTCACAGGGTTGGACTGGCCTTGGTAATGAAGGACTATCCTTTTCTGGCATTGGGATCCTCCTTTGTTCACACCCACTAATTTTAAAATCAACTTCTTTGATATTGGACGCACAACTATCCTGTGGTCCTTGTGGTGTAAAAGTTGTGTTTGTGAGAGAGAAGAGGTGACATTAGAGCGTGTTGAATGGGGAGATTGCATCGTACAGTTTGTCCAAACAAAAATTAGAGCCCATTGGAAGACTACCAAGGAGAAATTGAATAAACTCACACAATAAAGGACATAAAACATACAATTCAGAATTTCACAAAAGACTGGCTGGGGCAACCAATAGAGCGGTCCTTGGGGGAGGGGAAATGGCCAGGGGCAGAAGAGTCAGAGCAACCTCTCTAGAAGAATTTCCAGCTTCCGAAACTGATTCACGCTTTCGCCCGGTGCTGTTCTCAGGGACCTTATTTTCTTTCCAGATCCATTTCCCCCCTCTGAGCTAGCCTTGGTAGATTCACAATGGAATGGCTAGGGAGGCAACTGATGAATTTTATTTAGATTGTGAGGGAGACAGGGTTGCTTGAAGCGAATGATAAATATGGCAGTCCTAGGTAGGACTGGAGAGGTAGTTTTGTTTCCCTCTTTTTTTTTTCTTTTTTTTTTTTTTTTTTTTTTTTTTTTTTTTTTTTTTTTTTTTTTTTAAATACCACCCCGTGAATGCTGATAGGAGTGATGATAAGAGCATGCACTCCTACCAGCTTCACTGGGGGCTCCAATCTATTAGTGGGGAACGGCACCTGCTGGAAAGCGGGTCCAACGTCCCGTATACAAACTGAACTCAAAAGAAAATTGAGGGTCCCTGCCAGCATTGATAACCCTGGACTTAAGGGGATTGACTGAGCAGGTCGTTGGCAGAGATAGAAGAGAACCAGAAAAAGACCCGCCACTGAGCAGGCTGTGGTAGAAATTGACTGAGATATATGTTGTCCTCAAAAGGGTGAACGCTGTCTTCGGGAAATGAGAGCTTCCGTCAGAAGATCGTCTGCTCTGAGTGTTGAGCTGGAGGGCGTAAACCTCTTCGCTTTGGATCAGGCGCCAAAATATTGTTGCTGAAGGACCGGTTTTCCCTTGAATGCCTAAAGGTCCACTTCCCCCGATATCAGACTGATTCACCTGAAGGCCTGGAATACCCCATTCTCCATCCGTCTGCCTGTGTCCGGGCAGGGGTCAGGGAGGAGCCCTGGGGGGCACTAGTAATTCCCTCCATACCCTTGCCCGTCTCTCCGCGAGAAACCGACCCCCCATTTTTGACCCAAGTGATGCTTAGAGCGAAAATTGTATGGTGTCTGTCATTCTTGTCCTCACTTCGTCCCCCCCCTTGTCGGCAACTATCCCCCGGATGACTGGATAACACAGAACGACGCCAGAGCAGAGTTGAAGAGGAAGAAACCCGGACTCAATACGCAAAAATCAGACTTGCTATCCTATCACCTTCTATCTGCGTTCCAGATGAAGGAGTCTGGTTCAGAGCCAGCAGGAAGGGCAGCGACACCACTTGGGCCAGAAATGGGGGAAAGGCGGTGAAGGGGTCACTGCTCCCTGCCAGTCTTCCATTCCCTTCTACTCTGTACCATTCAATCAGCACCTCCTCCAGACAGGTCAAATGAGTAAGACCAACCTTGCTTCCATTCCCTTTCATGGTACCCAGTCCACCTCCTTCAGCACCCTTCCTTTGTGTAAGATGAGCCTCCACCCCACCGGGAAGGCCTCCGTTATTTCCTCAAAGGCAGTCTCTACATTATGGCAATATCTTAGCTCCTCCCTCAATTCTCCGGGGTCTTCCAATCTTTCTTTTCCTCGTCCCAGAGGTCTCCTACTTTCAACACACCATTCTTCACCCATCCTTTCCATAGGGTATCAGAGCTGCAAAAAATATGTCCACGTTCGTCAGAGATCCAACGGTTTCCGAAAAGGGGTTGTCTTGCCACTTCTTCCCACCGAACGGGAGGGGGGCGATTTGGGGGAAGCTTCCTCCATATTTTTAATAAACGGGGCCAAAAATCGTCTCGTCGTCCCTCCATGCCCTCGCGAGCGCCGTGGAATCCTCCAATACCGGTCGTCTAGCCAGCGGAGCGGGTGGATGGTCCGGGGGGCCTCAGGGGCTAGACGTGCAATCTGTTCTAATGCGAGTGGCCTCCACACCGAGGGGTTTTCGAAGATCAGTCGTAACACCCACTGTAGGCTGAGAGCTTGGGATTGGCCTAAAGGGTCTAAAATACCAAGGCCACCCTTTGCCTTAGGTTGAATGACTGAGTCCCACGCCGCCCTGCTTATAGCGTTGGGGCTTTCACTGTCTCCCCTCCATAAATAGGCTGCCACCTTCCTCTTCAGGGTTCTCTGGGCGTCTGGGCTAAGTGGCCAGAAAACCGATTTATACCACAAGGTGGCTAACACTACATTGTTAATAATCAAGGCCCGACCGAAGAGGGATGTGCGCTGATGGTTCCATTGCGACAGTTTGGCAAATACCGGGCTTGATAGTCATTCGTCATTTTCTAAGGGTTTGCCTAAAGCTGTCATCTTAACTCCCAAGATTCGTATTGGGGTTTTCGGGGCTGCCCAGGAGACTTAGTGCCCTTCCGGCGGGCGGCCCCCTTGATGATGGAGCCACCATCCTATTGTCTTATGTCCCCAATTGATGGCCATGTGCCGAAAAGTCCATCAGCCTATGAATCACCTCCATATTTTGATGCGTGGCATCAGCCATGATTGTAAGGTCATCCGCGAACAGCGAGCAGATCGGAATTGCCTCCTCAGGGATGCCAGAGATCAGAATTTTCTTTATGTCCTTGCTCTGACGGAGGTTTGCTGCTAGCGCTTCCATAATGATGATGAATAAGAAGGGGGCAATGGGATCCCCTTGTCTTACTGAGCGTTGTAATTTTATCACCGGGGCCAGCGACCCGTTTATTTGAACGCTCGTGGTAGCGCTCTGGTGTAGTATACTCACCCACCGTCGAAAGTTGATTCCAAAGTTTAGACGATCTAGGCATCTGTCCAGGAAAAACCAATTTACATGGTCGTACGTTTTTTTAAAGTCTATGAAGATAAGAGCGACATTATTTTTGGACTGAATTGCTAGACTGATCATCCCATTGATCAAGAGTATGTTTTCTTGGATATTACGATTACGCATGAAGCCGGTCTGTGCCGGATGGATGATATCGTCCATTACTTGTATCAGACGGTTGGCCAAAGCCTTAGATAGCATCTTAATACCACAGTCAAAAGTGTGATAAGACGGTAGTTCTTGATGTTCATTTTATCTCCTTTTTTGTGAAGCAGAGAAAGTACCCCTTGCCCTACCAGTTCCCCCTACTCGGGCGAATCCCATACGGCCCTGTAGAAGCGCATCAGGTCTTCACCCAGGAAGGGTCACATGGCTTCCCAAAACTCTTTGGGAAAACCATCTAGGCCTGGTTTTTTTTCTTCCTCCATTTGCATGAGTGTCGTCCAGATCTCCTCTCTGGTGATCTGCCTTTCCAACTGCTCTTTTTTTGACGGGGAAAAAAGGTCCTCCATCGGGCGTAAAAAGTTTTTTATTGCTTTTGAACGGTGATCCTCTTGCTGCGGGGGAATGTGAGAGGAGAAGAGGTCCTTGTAAAATGTTCTGGCAATTTTCACACAATGAGTTGTGGTGGTGGCTAGGTCGTCGGAAATTGGGTCCACCAGGGCTTCGATAGTGGTACGGTGTGATCTCACTGAGGCTAGACTGAAGAAATGAGAGTCCATGATCCCTTCGGTAGACCATTTCGCTAGTTTACCTCGAATTTTAATTCCTTGCCAGCGGTGTTGTGCTAATAAACGTAATTGGTCCTGCAAACTTTGAATCTCCGGGATGTGATCATTTGAGTTGTCCTGGTTAACCAGATTGTGAAGTCTTTTATGAACTTCCATTTTTTGTGTCTGTCGTCTGTTTGTTAATAGCTTCGAATACTCCTTGCATTTTCTGGCCAGGAAGAAGAGGTCGTTGGTGAACCAACGCACTTCTAAATCAAAGGCGACTTTCTGGTCCCTCCAGAAAGTCCAAAAGTCGCGAACCTACGTGAGGAATGAATTTTCTCTGAGGAGGGAGGTATTGAGCTTGTAGTAACCTGGGCCTTGGTCTGGTCGTTTACAAAAGGACAAAATGGCCCCACATGTACTATGGTCAAGGCCCGGGTGGGGACTTCGTGGAAGGATGGTGGAGAGGTGCAAGGCGTGTTGAATTTCCTGTGAGATCAGGATCAAGTCGATACGTGATTTCGAATGTCTAAATTGGACGTTGGTACGGTGACAAGTGTAGGTTTTATCCGTCGGATGTAACAGCCTAAAGGCGTCCACCAGGCTCAGGGACTCGCAAAGGTCTGCCAAAATTCGCTCATCTTCTTCCACATAATGTGGGTACGGTTTCCGAGGACCCCATCTATCCTTCTCTCAGTCTGGGGCTGCATTAAAGTCATCGGCGATGATCAGTGGGACTCCTTGAGGAACTTGGGTCTGGAGGTGAGTAAAAAAGGATGCCCTTTCTGTGGCGGAGTTGGGGGCGTAAACACATATGATGCTGATCAGTTCTAATTCTAACATACCGAGGATCGATACCCATCTCCCCTGCTCCTCATCCGCTACCCAATTAACCACCTCTAAACGTGACCCTGGCGGGACCCAGATGGCTACACCAGCCGAACCTGGTGTTTTGGCGTGTGCTCTGAAGGCCTGATGGGGCCAGATTAGTTTGTGGGTCCGTTGGTGTTCTGGTTTGTCCATTAGATGAGTTTCCTGAATGCAAATTACATCTGGCCATGTCCTGCCTCCAACTCCTTTCAGCTGGTCCCATAT